ATTATAAATAGTCTATATTTTATACTTTATAAATAAATAAAATACATTTGAAATAATACAAAAAAACACAAATCCTTTATGCTAGTTGTCCATAAATACTTCGTGATTCGTTATAAACGCAGCCACGCTGGTGTATAGGTATCACTATTGCAATATGTTTTGTGTTTGTTTATGCATTGTGTAGTGGTACAAAAATAAACCACCGAGCACAGAGTGGTAAAATATTATTTAGGACTTGAAGCACTGGATATTTGTGACAAAGACATATATCCCAATATTTATATTCTCCTAAAAGTGCTATGCACTTTACCGATATCAACATCTTCACCTGAACGTATGTTTTCAACTCTGAAAAGAGTGAAAACATATTTAAGGAACACAATGTTTGAGGTTTGAACTTTAATATATCCAATACCTATTTATGTGATAGAGATTACATTTAAGTATTTTATCTAATTCTTTACTGTTTATTCCACAGAATCGATTAAATGGCCTCACTATGTTGGCCATTCATAAAAATATAACAATTGACCCTGAAGAAGTAATTAACGAATTAGCATTAAAGCCACGTTGAGTGGATCTTTTACTGTGATCAAAGCATAAACTGTAACTGTTTGGTATTTAACTGTTATAAAGATACCAATAAGACAATAAAGTATAATACCTATTCAGTATTTATAAATGTGAATATTTTCTAATATTTATTCCATGTCTCATGTGTACATAAATACATTGCACTGAAATGTGCTTATAATAAATACTTTTTATTTTATTTTTTAGGGGGGGGGGGTAAAATGTTAAAATATTTCATCCCCCCCCCCTCTACGAACATGACCAAATTACGCCACTGTGGCTCCACTATTGGTTGAGGTACTATAAAATATCATTACAGGCGTGGAAAACAAGCAGTGCAGCTTAAGAAGATGTCAACGTAATATTTTGTTCTCCCTCAGATCCAAACGCAACATAGATGCAATGCATTCACGTAAAATCGTTTTTTTTTCTTTTTGGTAATCTCACCTATTATACAAATTATAGATGATAGTTTTTTAAAGGTTTGAAATATCGATTTTGTATTTTATTATTATTTCACTGAATATTCAACTTAAAATAAATAGAGTGTTCACATAAAATATAATATTTAGTAAGATTAAAAAATATCAAGTACCACAATATTTTTGTAATAGGTAATTTTACTCTAAAACATGTAAAACAATTATATTGAGCCTGAATACTATTTGTTTATGGACGAGAGGAATAAAATAAACAGTTCGCTGACACCCTCTCAACTACAGGTCGAGAGTTCCACAGTCTACAGAGGTTACGCACTGCGGGAGTCTATACCTATATTATGATAATATTGTTGTTGGGACGTTGGGTCCAACGTCGATGAACTTGATAATTAACTCATAAAAACAAGCGATCTTGTGTTTTGTTTTTTATGACGTGCTTAAGTTATATAATAATATAATGCTGCAGTATCTATACAAATAAAAGGCAATATTTGAGAATGTGTGAGAGTATGTGTGTATTGTAATCCACATTCCACAGCCAAGTCTTGTAAGAACTAAAAAAATGTAATTTTACACATAAAAAATGAAATGTTTTCTTATATGATCGTTTTTTTTCAATTACCATTGTCATAAATAAACCAATGAATATATATATAAAAATTTAAAAAAAATGTATTTACTAACGTATGTAAAAGTCATTAAAACTGTTTAGGACACCGGAAAATTTTGTAAGTTTCGAAACAAACCTTCATAAAAATTAGTTGGTGACCCCTAGTATATAATATTGACAATGTTGTCAGAAATTAAAATAGTTATTAATACTTATTAAAATAAATTGTTCAAAATCTTAGACCTGTATTTTATATTTGGTCAAAACCACCCAAATGAGTAAGTCCCCCGGCATTATTTAATTTGTCACAGGAAACTCCATGCAAGAACAGCTATAATTAAAACTTTGATCTATTAAAATTGTCTTTACTACCTCTGCGAATTTATAGTATATAGTAGAAAGGCCTACAACGGATGATCCTTTTACAAATCCACAGTCATCAACCGATTTTCATGAAATTTTCGTCGATAAATTCTGTAAGAAAATAGTTATTATTATTGGATATAATTTTAGACCTGTAATTTGTATGTAATTAACTAAATACAAAATTAAACATTTTTTACATGCAATTAATTAACAAAAACTGTTCTTTAGACAGTCATTAGGTATTGAGCATATCTATTAAATATTATTAATGAGTATAATTTGAAAATTTGAAAAGCACATCAAATAATATTTATTACAATAATTGAATAATAATATTATCTACTTTAATATATTGTATATAGTTATAATGAATACATTTTGACATGTTTATTTGATAAAATGGTCATTCTTTGTATAATCTATTATTCTATTATTTCTATTGTATCTAAATTGTTTCATTTGTCAGTTGTTTTTTCTTATACCGTGCCGAAAATCATCATCATTTATATAGGTATACTATAGGTATTTATCATCAAATAACATTAAATATATAGATAAAATATAAACATTAGATTCTAATTAGGTAGTTATTAAAATTTGATACCATATAATATAATTATAAGTACAATTAATGTATAGGTAACGAAAATAATAACATGCAGTTTGTATACCTACCTATTCTTATTGTCTATCTATCTCACTTTAAAATTTAAATATTAAATTGAAACACACGTTTTTACGCATGTGCGGCACGCAGCTATTATCTTTTCAATGACACGATGGTCGATGTTTTTTTTATTTTTAACACACTTGATCTCAGAGCTTGCATGTCATTTTACTCGAAATTATTTGATACAATTTTTTTAATATCTAAACGAATTGTTTACCCAACAATTAAAAAAAACAAAAGTCACACGTTATCAAGTCGAGAACAATGCGTTCGGGTGAAAAAAATACACCGCGGAAAAGTATGAAAAAAGTTTCTTTAACAGTAATTTTGTGTGTTATGCTACACAATATATTACATTATATTATTTTACCGTATATTATTTTACGTACCATCATCTCCCACTCAGTGCCGAACGTCGTCGGGCCATCATCGTCCGGGAAAACGAGGAAAAGAAGGAGAAAAACGATTCACTTTCTCTGATATCCAATTAGAGTATTAGACAATTGGACGGGTTTAATTGTGCTCGGATAGACGCACACGAAACATTTCCAAGTCGCTCGCATTCATTGAACACGTGCAAAATAAATAATGATAATAAAACACCTTTCACGTAAGCCCTGCTGGTCCAGAGGTGTACTTATGCGTATAGAATTACAATAATATTATTATCGTATACATACTCTTAAATATTATTATGTGTACTTTTACACAATACTATTTAGAATTGGAACAGTCAACGGATTAATTTTTTCGAACACATGAAATCCACATTTTTCGAAAAATCAGTCATCTGAAGCATGTTTAGTATTCTATTTCTCGCCTTGATGTGAAAATTCTTTAAAATTTAATTTTAAGAAATTACCTAAAATATTCTACGGGAAGGGAATTTATTGGGGAAATTCTAAGGGATGTACCTATTGTTTTGTAAAAATGTTTCTAAATATGATTTAAGTACCTAATCTTACATTTTTTAAATGAAAAATATTTGATGTGTAAAAATATTACATAATAATTACAAGCGTTATTGGAGGTTTATAATATCTATAAAAGCTCTATACAAGTCCAATTGAAAATATATACTTAAATGCCATCGGTCAGTACAAAAATTAGATTTTAAATTTATTTGAAATAAAATACAGTTTTTTCAATAGATAAGTACTATCATATTAAACTATATTTTATATATAAACAAATTTTTTGTTTTTTTAAAGAATATTCCCAAAAAGGTAAGGGAATATTTCTGAAATATTCTTTGTTTCCCGGGAACGTTCCTCGAGAGGAATGTTCCTAGTCATGTGACCTTCTTTAATTACTTCGATAATTTATTCAAGTACATTTTAATTTTTGTTAAATGTTATTGAAATTGCATTTATAAAAACCCTTAAATCGATTGCGTTATGCACACATACTGAGGAGCAGACTTCACATGATGCTATTATTAATTGACGGGGCCATGTTCCAATCGTTGTCGTATATTGTAATTTGCGTTCGTTATTGTTTCTATCAGCATTTTATATACGGCACCACTCCCATATATTGTAGACGGGTTTTTGTTTATTTTTTTGGTATTATTTCGATGTTTTTTTTTTTGATCAGCAGCTGCGATTATGTCGTCGTCATCGTCGCGGTCCGTAGATAGATGAGAAACCTATACAGTGAGAGAAAGGGAGAGATTGATGAAGAGCCGAGGAACGAGGTGGAGTTTCGAAAAAAAAATTTGTATGGGCATAATATTACACTGCATTACCGATTAAGAATGCAAGAAAACAATACGGTTTTTGGTTTTTGTGTTCTCTTATAATTCTATTATTGTTATTAAATTAATTACACTATTATTACAGCCACATTGTGAGTTTATACACGTAAAATTATTCATCACTATACACGTTTTTATATATACAATAATATTATAATAACAATACATCGAGTCCTGCACGGTGGCGATGCGCGGTGGTCGCAGTTGCGAACGGCGAGGCGTTTGAGAGCGATCAAATGCCAGATTTGGTCACTACTCTCCGACGATCTCGTACCGTCGTCGGCAATAATAACAATATTATTATAATAATTTAAAAGCATAGAAATGTATCACCGCTACCGCGATATATCACGTCCTTTGCGTACAAGCGGACAAGACGGTTCGTTATTAAAAATATACCAATAAAATAAAATAAAATTACTTAAATATCTATAAATAGTGTAAAATAAAATAAAATAATATAATATGTATAATATACGTAACATATCATATAATATGCGAACGCACCTAAACGAACGTCGCACATGGTATGAATATATCAAAATATATGTATTATAAATTATTATCGTTATAAATATGAATATAGTTTGGATATCAGAAAATCGGTACGCACCGTTCATAATATTATTTATGTACAATGTGTGCATCGGTCCGTCGGGGACCTACGCACGGCATATGGTGTATAGGTGAGGTACAAGACTAAACTGTTTCATTTTTTTTTTTTTTTTACTATTATTCTCATTATTATTGTTGCGACGAATTGATTATGTAGGAAATCCAGTCGACCGTCAACGCCACCCGGTGATAGATGCCGGGCTGACCGCGTTGTGCGCACGAGTAACCGGCCGAAACGATCCCGATCAGGTACCATCGACCCGTCTTTTCCAGCATCAGTGGTCCGCCCGAATCACCCTGTGAAAATCGTAAACGATAATGTTAGTCGACGATGCGTTGGATATATATTATGACCATCGCACGCGGTCGGACAAGTCAGGTCTAGGTGTCTGGTTTATTACGGGTTGATTATATCGGTAGTCGATATACCAGACAGTGTTAGGTAGGTTGGTCAATTGTTATTATTTTTATGGTGTAGGTATACTGTATACCACTGCAACACCTCTACAAGGCGATTCATCCGAGTGTAGACACTCGTAATTTCGAAAAGTATTTACTCTTCAGAAAACATTATTTTTACTGAATATTTTATTGATGCCATTGCTAAACGAAATTGTTGAAAAAAAATTAATTCCCTACACATTTTTCCAACTACGACATATACTTTTAATTTTACATTCACACTCCGAAGCAGAATATTTTTTGAAGTACCTATACTTATTACTTATGGGTACATTTCAAGGAAATTAAAAATCAAATTTCAAATGATTAGTTAATTAGTTATAACTTATAACTTATAAATATTTAAAGTTTAGTTGGGCGAAGTAGTGGACCAACCTTTTAAGAGATGGATAGGTGTACCCCAGTATCACTCTACTCCTATATTTTTAAACATTTATATTTATACGTCGAAACATTCAGAAAAATTTTCTGATTTGGAATATGAAATTAAAAATGTGTATTGTCGTTCAAAAAAGTAAAAACTTAAAAAATGGAAACGATATAAAATTGTATACGCTTTACAAAATAATGAGAGTAGACACTGAAATGGATCATCTTGTATGCTTTTATATTCTAATCATCCATAGGCCTCTACAGTACAACTAAGAGGTGGTCTGAAAACCCCCTGTTGAGCCGTATTTGAACATTTACATCAAGCGATTATTTGTAATGACAATAATATTTGATAAGAAAACAAGAACACAAGTATGCAAAACGGAAATTTATATTATTATAAAACCACCCTCGAAAAATGTATGGTTAGTATAAGGACGATACCATGTTTGAAAATTATAATGTACGTTTAGGTTTGTATACTAAGCTATGTTTAATATTATAGTAACACGCTCGATATTATAGTTGTGGATATTATCTTTTTTCACGGTTTGTTTTCCTAACGATAAATGTTGTATCATATTATTATTATTATTATTATTATTTTCCTGATTTTCTTCGAAGAAAATTGTTAACGTACGACTTCCATTGAGCGTGTCGGAAGAAAGCCGCTTCGTTAAAATCGCCGAATACGTTAGTCACCCATCCGGAAAGATCTCGACACTCGTCCAGTGGGTATATCATACGTGACGTTTGCTTTCATAACATCTCGATGTGCTCGATGAATTGTACGTAAAATCATAAGTCAATATGACAATATTATATTAGCGCCAGATATTGTGTTTATTCTTTTTCATAGAATTCGATCGACTTTTATTTGTTCAAATAATAACAATAATAATAATAATAATAATAATTAGGTATCTATTAAATGTCAATTATTTCATCACAGAGATTACGGTTTTGGGAAAATTGAATTACATTTTTTTTGTTTTGCACAAATTCCGGAGTGAAGAAAGCGTTAAGTCGAGTTGGTAAAATAATTCCTTTCGGTGCTCGTCTGGAGGACAGATCGGAATTAATATAATTATATTATTATTATGTTATTTGAACCGGTGCGGAGTCCATACGAAACGAGAATTCCGAAGAGATTGAAGAAAAACCTGTCAGCGTAAAATCTGAACTCGACGGCGTATTACTCACTTGGCACGAATCCTTCGATCCTTCCCGGTAACCGGCGCACATCATCTCGTCGTAGATTATAACGTTTATGCCGTTGGACTTGTGCCATCTCTCGCACTGTCTGTTGTCGATGATCGGCACGTCGACGGCCTGCAGCGTTTTCGGCCTCAGTCTAGAACCTGTGTAGCGAAAAACACGCAAAAACAACAACAGAACACTGTATACTATCGACAAATAATACATATTTTATTATTTTTCTAAACATTTTACATAGTAAATTATAAATGCCGATCGGCGTGCGATCCGTATCATCCGGGTGAGCGGTTGTCCGGACATCACGAGCTAGCACAGACACGCCATAATGACGTAGATATAGGTGCTCGTACAAGACACCTCTGACGCCAGCCTCGGTGGGGGGTGGAGAGGATTTGTGATATCGATAAGGAACGAGATTGTCGAGTATTAAAGGTATCCTAACACGTTTTAAAAATAATAATATAATCATGTCCTTAACGACTTTATCGACAGGGAACCACCGCTGGGTTGTAACTGCTGCACGATAAGGATATGCGGACACCGCGTGTGTGTCTTATTGAAGCATCGGATAGACATAATATTATGCTTTGGATAAATACGTGTTGCGAGGGCGTAAGGGTGAAGGGAGAAAACCGCCTCAATAATATTATAGGCATGAGGTGTCTACTTGTAATTATAGGTACGCTTACCGATTTTTGCCGTTCTCAAAGCTTATACGAGGTACTCGAATAAATACATTTATTTTATAGTATTTACATATACGTAGCTGGCCAGTTGGGGTTTTCGAATGATAAACAGCACGGAAAAATAAAACCAAACCATAGGCCTGCATTATATACTCATCTTATTTCAAATAAAATTTGGTTTTAAACTATACTTTTGTACTTAAAAAGTGTCTACTTCGATACTCTTTACTTGATACTATTGTAAACGAAATCGCAAGTACGAAACCTTTTGGATGAAAACAATTTACTAAATGTCTACCTTATAGTAATATGCTCGTAATATATTATAATACTTATGTTAAACCTTAGAGATAAATCTGTATGGATCACGACGGTTTTCGAGCTCATATTGACAGTAAAGTCCTATAATATTAATAAGTTTCCTTTAGCGTTTTGAGTGTAATTTATTGGTCTAATTCTACAAACAAATGCGTCGCCGTGAGCCTCTCGGGTGTTCCGTCGTGTTTTTCAAAAATTAGTTTGGTCATCACGAGCTGGTAGAGACCAAATTAATTTCGACGAGAGCAATAACAGAAAAGATTCGGCTGGCCCGCGAGACGAGAGACGCCGCTGTTGCGGCGGTGGCGACAACTGTATAGTGTGATAGACGGCATTGCGCACAAAGACTTTTTTAGAAACTCGTTTCCACGCTCGTGACACGCGTGGCGGACGCATTTCCTTTATTGTTTAGTGTGTGTGTGTGTGTGTTTTTTACCAGTCCTACAATAACGCGCATTCGCGGCGAAATCGGCATATTTCGATGCGCGCGCATCGTCCGTCGTCGCCCACGCGGGCCCGCTATACGTTATAATAACAACACGGCTGTAACAAGAACGTATATTATAAACATTTGTATAAGTTATACACAAAGAGTATAATAACGATTTATCGCAAATACGTATTATTAACCATCATTCTGTGTAGGCACGTTTCCGGCCATCCGGAGACTGGATGCACGCGCGAGTCTTCCGACCGAACGTCGGCCCTATAGATATTTCCGCTGCACTATATTATTATTGTATTATGTACAACACGTGCAGACCGTGATATTACCATCGTTTGGTATACGGATATGCAGGCACTGTTCGTAGATACCATAATATTAAACTGGATGTCGTTTGAATTTTTTTACAAGTTCCAACGCGTCTAACCGGGAGAACATTGGTCGACGTGTCGCCTGCTCGGACTTAGCACTTGGAAAAACACTGCCACGGTGATATACTTTTGAACGTGCAGGTGTTCGGTGGTTATCTAGATTTTGTACGATTGCGGTCATACCGTTTTCTCGACGACCATGAAAATATTTTATTTCATATTTTTATCTCTACGACGAGACGGATCTCCTGATGTTAAAACGTACAGCTGTATTGATTTACAATCGAAACTCGAACCGGAGCGTTAATATGTGTCTTGTACGTTACTCCGTTTTGACGATATTATTCTACGTCGGTCGATGAATGCAATTTTTCAAACTTTCGCCACGAAACGCAGTTATCCAGAAGATCCGTCTCCCTCCTAGGAAATCGTTAAATCGTAATAATAGTTAGGCCAATTGGAACTAAGAGTTGGATATTCTTCTGTATTGTACTTACTCTCGGTATACAGCTATAGCAGACCGAGTTTGAAACCAATAACGATCAACGAGATTGAAAAAGAAAATATAAAATGCATATTTAGTCAGTTTTCGGGAAAAAGTTCATCATTTTTAATATTTTTATGTAAGTACTATTAAGGCGTTTTAAAATGTCTTTTTTTTTATCTTATTTATTTTATGCTAATTATAGATAATTTTTCATTTATGCGAATTAACAAAAATCAAAGTTTCCCGCTATAACAACATTTTTAAATAATACTGTGTTTTTGTTATTTACTGGTAAATGGTAATAGGTATGCCACGATGACGTATTATATTACGTCCTGCCAGTTTTTAATTATATTTCAATATTTTATAAATAAAATAATTATTTTTATCAAAAAAAAAAAAACACGCCATAAGCTAGTGGGTACTTACTGACGTATATAAATATATTTGGTACGTTTATTATATAACATTGTGACAATATTGTTCTAAATTTTTTTCGCATAATCTTAGATTTTTTATGTGCATATTTTATGGGTCTTAACTTTCAAGCCCCTACAATAATAATAATAAAAATAATAATAAACGATATACATAATGTTATAGTTGTACGATGATGTTGTTCCGATCGTTGAAACGCGCTCGTGTGTCATTCGAAAACTGCACAATATCATTAATAACAATATAATATTATTGTATTATCGAGTGTGCGCTGACCGAACATATTATTATAAAGATTTCAATCCTTGATCCTCGAGCGACAACCACTTTGGGGATAATGATAATAATAATATTATTAATATAACTATGTACGACTCTTGCGTGGACGATAACTATATGTAAGTACTCGTGGCTATAACGTGGGGGGGAGCTGTCAACCGAAATATTGTGTTATCAATATCATTGTGTTTTCGTATATCCGTCACTGTCTGCTCGCCGCTGCTCGCCGCTGCCGAGATTCGAAAGCGGGCGAGCGCGCGCTCGTGATTTTCTGGTCGTATTATTATTAATATTATAGCTGTTGGGTACCTAAGCTATTCCAACTGATGGCCGCCGATACATTACTGTCATTGCCTACTTTTTATCATTATTGTTTGTTATTATTATTGAGGGGCTCGAGCCGAACTTAGTTAAAGACGGTCGATTGATATTTTCATTCTATTCCGACTGACAGATATCGTCATATTATTATTATACAGGGGTTATCGAAATGTTTTCCTTTTAATAATCAATTTATTCTAAATCTGTATTTTTAGAATTTTTAAGTGTAGGTACCTAAGGGAAATGTTTTCAGATATTAAAATTTTTTTATACTTTTTATTAATTTCCTGTACCTTGTGGTGATACAAACTTATTTTTTTCAAAGACAAACAATATTTTTTACGGCACACTTTTACTATAATTTTCATAGCATCATAGCCCCTGCAATATTTTTCAAACTTCTTATAGTGGACTACCCTTAGAACACATAGTTTTGTAACTCAATAACTACTCACTCGAATTTCGATTTAGATGTATCGACATTTTCAAAAGTCTTTGGATTAACAACGTGCAGAAAATAGGGTGGTTTTTTTTAAAGTTAATATCATCACAGGAGTACAGGGCACTCCTTAAATGGTATAAACAATGTAAGTATTTAGAAATAATAAGATCCTTAAGCATATTTAAAAATTCCAAAAATTGGAACATGAAAAAATGAATTATTTCAGGAAAAAATGTGTTGATCATGCTTGGGTGAAGCTAGTATATTATGCTGTATTGCCAGCATTCGATTTTCAAATTCTTCTTTATAATGATCTCGGCCACTCTCTCTCTACCTATCTTCTACCCCACGGTCTCACTACCTTCGTTTGTATATTTTTATTATTACATATATAGTTAGTTGTCTGCACGATTATATCCGCCCGAGGTTCACAAATAAATTGCACGCTGCATATACTCTATTAATATTAAGTCTAAGTCCAAGACATTTTGTGCACGTTCGACCGTATTTTAAACGATAATTAAGTATTGTACGGAACTCAATTTTTCAAATAGTATACCAAATGCGTGTGTTGTTACTTATATATTATCACGGAATTTCTATTATATTTTGTTAGAAAAAACCAATCTGAAGGTAATTTTTCAAATAAAATGTACAACAATTTGAGAATTATTGCTACTTTATAGTACTTTCTATAGGAAATTGTTTAAGAAAAAAACTATCCTATTTAAATAAAACCAAGAAAAATTCTTACCCGACAACAGTATGTAGGTACATTGATGTGAAATATATGGATTCCGAAAGTAAATCCATGTTTTTAATGTCCACTTATCAAGAAAATGATATTTAGTTAGATTCGATAAAGTAGGTAGGTGGTCAATAAATAATTTTAAATAATTCATATCTTGGAAAATTATTATTCACAATAAATACATGAACTTTTGATTTTTCACTAATTTTGATGGCTAAAAATTACGGTTCCAAAACCAATTAGAGAAAAATATAATTTTTATTAGTTATATTTCTGCAGTACTGGAAATTTTCGCAATGAATTTAGTGTGCAGCAATATTATCCAAATACAATTTTTATAGACGTTGCCGAGACCCGATTATTCCTAATCTATTTTAGAGATTTCACATTTTTTTTATATATGTAGCTTATAATATTCTGCTGGAGATTATTTACTGTTGACGTTAATTTCTGAATCGAACGATGTAATATAGACACATAATATAGGACATAGATCTATGTTTTTTGTACCTACGACGGATATCGCGACATTATTATATGTATAATATTGATAATTTAATTCTATACAGCTGCCGGTTTTCGAAATTTTTAGAAGACATCGTTAACAAAATAATTTAATTAAAGTATTAAACATAATTTCTCAAAATTACTCTGGCTGAATGAAATGTCACCGTACCGTATTAGTATAGTTGGACGGTTTTTTTCCATCCCATTCTTCGTAACACGGGTGTTTTATATACCTACCGGTTCCGTTTAGGTTGAATTCACAATTGTTTACACTCTGTGTAATTTTAATTATTAGTGCGACATCCGTTATAGTACTTTCCGGACAGACGTCTGCTGGAGGTTCCCTTTTACTTTTTTGTATTTATTTACTTTTTACATTTTAACTGACCAATGATTCGTTTCGACAATGTAACATCGGTGACGAATGTTTTTTTCGGCGCTAATCAAACTGTACACAAAAATGTGTTTTTATATATATTTTGTACTCTACGCGGAATGGTCTCGCAGTAAATTTATTGTCGAAACAATCGATTTTCGCGCACCTGCGTAAGGCTGTTATACCTGCTTTTATAGGTATCTATTATAACGGACAACAGTCGTTAACTGTACAACATTGGCTAATATAATTATTATTGTTGTGACGTTATATTATATTATTAATTATTAAATAGGTTCACCATATTATGGTAATTAACACGGTGTTTTGTGCTGGCATTGTGCAAGTGCGCCGGAACGTATAGGTACCAAATAATAAATACTATAATAATACGAATATTTTAGCAAACCCGTGTTGTCATCTCCTGTCCGCCAATATAACATAGAAACCCAAACAAAAGGATAACGAATTATTGCATCGCTCGCGTAACCGTAATCGAGGTCGATGCACGAAACACACATTTATACCTATGTACATTTGTCTTTTTTCTACGACCGTCGAAACGCATAAAACCTAATTATAGATATGTATAACACACAGCTACGATTACCGTAGTTCCGCTATTTTATAGATCACTAGGCTCATAAAAAAGTACACGTTAATTCAAATACAAATGACTCGGGATGACACTATACTCTAACGGTATATGCGTATGTAATATTTTACCGATTTCTCTCCCCTCTCGCTCTCACAAAAATTCTCTCTCGCACTCTCTCTTTCACTCACTACCTACCATATTAATATTCTTATTCAAAAGTTGCAGGACTTGATTTGAGTAGGCCGTACTAGTATAATATTGAAATATGATTAAGGGACAAATCGCAACAGCCGCGTGAGCAGGATAGACGTAAACCCTGGTTTTAGTGTATACAAACCCAATCCATGTGAGTTTCATTGGTTTTTTTTTCAATAAAAATAATGCCTAAAGGGTTTTCTAAGATTTGGAGAGTTTCCTATGGTCTTCATAGAAAAAAAATCACAGTAAAATAGTCCTGATTTAATTGGGCTTAATAGTGCCGAGAATCTTACAAAATGTATTGTGCGCTTAAAGTCGTAAAGATCAAATAACATCGTAAAATAGAATTGAAACAATGCAGAAATAACAAACTATTTATGGTAATATATTGCGTGGGTTATAAATAAATGAAAAATAAAAATCTATACTACTAATTTGTATTCTGAAAATGCAATATATATGTTTGAATGTTTGATTAATTTTGTAATTTATTATCATTACCAAAACCGGAGCATAAATATTATGAATTTACCCTTTGGTCTTGTAAATGACCAATTAAATTTTTTATTGTTTTTGACAGCTTAGATTGAAAAAAAAAACGAAAACAATCAGTTGGTACCCGACATAAAAAACGGATCCGTTTGAATTTGGCTCCCGGGTGAACGCGTATGCGATGATGAATGTTCAAACATTGTTTTTATGATAGTCTCCTCCGATCGCGTTACACAGACTTAGACGACGGAGGAAAACATACTATACCTATATACGAAGTATCATAATATAATATTACTCGAAGAATAATTTTTACTGCATGATGAGACTGACTCGTTTCAACGTTATTATAGCAGTATTGTTGTCCTTGTCCGGAGACGACGAAGAAAATTAAGTGACGCGTCGGACAATGGTGTGTATAGTATTAATAATTATGGTAAAAAAATTTTAAAAACCGGTCGGAAAGATCGGATTACGGCGGTCGCGGGGGCCATTATAATATATTATGTACACGTGTTACACGTAGGTACACGGATCAGTGGCTGTATTTGTGGGCGAGAGTACGCCCTCAAGTGTTTGCAGGATACTAACTAAAAACTATCCATCAACTTACTAGGAAACGAAAATACGATTTTCAATTAACTGAAGGAATCGCTACAGCAACAGCTCTGCCAGTGAAAGACGACGAGGCAATGTTTAATATCATTGCTTATTAAACAATTTTTTTCCTAGAGGCTTTGACCGGTTAGGTTTTAAATCGATGACGTTTATTTTTAAGCTCATATAGGGGCAAATTATATTTTTTTTCTGAGGATTTCTAGCTTGTAGACTTACATTATTCCTTTATAATCTGTATGAAAAACGTCCTTTACTAGCTGTTAATATTTCTAAGTGGCATCTAAAAAAATTACATTATTAATTATATAAACCTATTTAAGTATACATTTTTTAAATTTTGTTTAGACCCGAATTTTCGTCTTTTGAATTGCCTTATATATCTCTGATAGATTGGAATTTTTTAGTAAATTCATATCGGAGAGTATAACCAAATTTGAGAAACAGTCCTGCAACATAATATTATAGGCACTGGCCGTTTTTGGCGACCTCAGCCAACTTTTTTGCTCATATCGAAGAAAACATCTCGAGTGACATATTATCTGCAAATATCACATATTATTTGGGGTACTATGAAATTATTTGAGGAGCTCCGTCTTCAGTCACCGATCCAGTTGCACCTATTCTCAAATTTAACTGGTTAGAACTTTAACCTTTAACTTGGTAATACGCATCATAATATTATCGTACACGTCATATAATAACTACGGACAATTGCAGTATAATATGTACGCGGGGGCGGCACCCACGTAAAAACAGCAGTATAAAAATCTCCGCTTTCCGTTCGACTTAAGTACATAATAATAATATAGCTGCTGTCTCGCCATACACACTCTCTCTCCGGAGCTTGTCTGCTAGACGCAGACCATCCGTCCGGCAGACTGATGGTATGGACGATGTGATATTGTTATAATACGGGTAGGCTTACTATATATATTATTGTTATTGTTGTTGTGTTGTACGCAGCAAGTATGTGATTTATTGGAAAAGTCGGTCCGGCGACTAAACGTCGTACCTAGGTCTGAAACGCATATATACTTACATTTAAATATTGTGCTTATACACACTCGGATATTGACATACCGCGCCGCCCGTTGTATAAATCTTTACACAATATGACGCGGCGTTATAAATACGTATAATGTATTATAACCGACGAGGTTTTAAAACAATTGATTTATCGATCCCGACCTATTATAAAATACGGGTTTCCCTGGTGCGGTGTAGTATATTTTATATTGTTATTGTTATTCTAAGGTTTGCGACTTTTCGATGTGATCTCAACAATGACGATGAACGTCGTTGGTCCGTTTTTGCTGCGAAGAACTCTAGCGACACAGCAGGTGTTGGTGCTGGTGATGCGTGGGATGCATACGGGGGATTGACTCGCCAAATAAATATAATTTTCTCCCCCCCCCCCCTGTTGTATTTTAAAAGAAAAACCCCCTCTCTCTACATAATGTGTTTAAGTCTCCATCTATGGCCATCACACAATCACATCACGGTGTAAAATATAATACACAAATTGATACTGTAATAATGATTTACGTCGTAATATTATATAAATAGTTGCATGTAATGTAATTCGAATTCGAACATATCTCAAATTGTTCAAAATGTTCGAGTATATGCCAGCAAGTAATTTTTTTTGTAATCACTTTAAGCTTTTCAAACTTAAACGTTTATTTTACTACTTAGCATTCTGGAATTTGTTGCGTTTAAATGTTCAAAACTTATAAAAGTTCGAATAAGATTCAAGTTTGATTTCGAAAACTGAACCAAGCTAACATAAATTGGAGTTCATGGAAACATAAATTCGGCACATTCTTAATCTGTAAGCTCTATACCCAATCGCGTCATGTTCTTCTCAACATGCATAATATTATTATTATCCACTGTATGTTCCTGGAACTGGATTTTTCATTGCGGGATAATAATTATGCTTAATATGCTACTTACTACATGGGTAGTCGTTAACTTTCGGATTTCGTCAATCGTTAATAATAATTATAATTATGTAGTATATAATATATTTACCGGCTTGCAAAGCTCCCCATCCGGCGGCCCATCCGTAGTGGCCCAAGAAGTCTTCGCCCTTGTCCGGCAAGCAGATGGGTGCTATGTGCGGCATGTACTGCACCGGTCTGTCCAACCTGAGCACGGCCACGTCGAACCGGTCGGCTTGCGGCGTGAACTTGAAGAACGGGTGCACGCTGATCTTGCGGACGCCGAACGTGTAAGCCGGCAACGGTTCCACCGCCGAGTTTATGACGTAATCCCCAAGCGTCACCTGCACCTGTCGCGCCGACGCCCTGAGGACAGAGAAAATGCATAAGGCGGCCGCACTAATTGTTTACTGCATTTCAGTCATTCCCAAACGCTTCCACACGATATAAAATTGTTGAATTATACTATATAATATTATATAGGTAGGTACATATTATATTATTGGTAGGCACGTTTTACAGTTTGAAAATCGAAAATGGTTTGAATCGTTAACGATTGGTTCAAACATTTAAGCTTTTGCGCCTTACATAATAGTTTTTGGACGTCTTGTCCCCGAAAATATATTAAAATATATTAAAATATATATTAATAGGATATTCGATTTCCGCAGGAGTTATCAGCAGTAGGACGTTTGGTCCCCCGCATATTTTGGGGATATTTGGACCTTTTATGATCGATTGGGAAACTCCACTGCAGCAATGTATTGCGTTTTAACTTTGATTGTTATTGAGACTAATATTTGTATCTTATGCCAATTATTATTTATGAAATATATTTCAAAACATTTTAGCAAAGGTGTGCAAGTTAATGAAAGCAATAAATTTGAAATAATTGAGTTAAGTATGTATGACATTCGTCAATTTATAAGTTAATAATTAACAAACAGTACCTTAACTGTAGAAGTTTAAAATTAATATGGAGAAAAATATTAACTAAACTCAGCTAACGCATAACAATTTGCGCATCATTTAAATGTTCAAACAATAATTAAACATGCTGTTAAAAATGCATCCTATATCACTACTTTACGTTTTTACTGCACACTTTATAGTTACGAGTATAGTAGTTTAGCCGGTTAAGGCAATTACACGTTTGTGTCAACTTAATTTATTTAAAATCATTGGTATACAGCGTAATTAAAACAAAAAAGTAATTTAACTCCTTATAAATTATATATGTATTATGTATTTTGTATGAAAATAATTTTAACAAAACGTATAATTTTTCAAATTAACTGGAGAAAAAAATGTTTCTACAATGGTTACTTTAACTAGTTATCTTATGTTAAGTTGAAAATTAAAATAATTGGCTTATTAACATTGCTTGAACTACGTTCTAACTACCTAGTTATAATGCCCACCTTTACATTTTACTTTCAATCAGTTTTTTTTGCAAAATAAATGCCATTCTTGCCACGTATTAAACGATGACAAATTAAATAGTACAACTTGAATTTTCGGCAGTGATATCATAAATATGGCCTCAGACAGAAGACTAGAATGATAAACCAAAAACCAAGTAATTTACAAAAAATGTATTTTTGTTTTACTATTGTAATAAATTATCGTAGATCATCATTTAACTTAACTTTATTGGTTGGATGGCTGTAATAATTCTGGATTTTATGTAATGGGCTGTAAATTGTGAAACCCAAAAATATAAACGTTAAATTCAGTTAGGTATTGACCGTATTGAACAGTGTCGACTTCAGGTCCGTAATAATTAATCTGTGACCATTACGTAGTGATTGTTGTACTTTATTCGGCCGTTCCGCGATAAAATTATTATTGATGATAAAAGACGATTACCAAATCGAAATTTAATTGACTTACCTAAATCGGAAATTTTACGAACTATACGACTACACTACAGTCGTACATTTAAGACGTGTAAATGTCTGCGATCGACGTAACGGGAACGGGCTGCAGTGATTATTTATGTTATAGCCTATCGGTTAAATAACTATCAATCATAATATATTGCTGAAATTCGTTCCTTTTTATGCTATAATATCTACCTGTTAAACTGCAGTTGTCCTCTTCTAGAATTGAGAATTGAGAATTGAGTATTTTTTATTATTTCCAGTCTCGGTTATGACAGTGACCAGGGGCGTGTTTAGAAACAACGGTTAGATAGCGGGGGAAAGAGGCACAAAACAATTTTTTCTCAATCACAGAATCATTGATTAAGGAGTTTACTAGTAAGTAAACTACATAATCACTGATAAAACAATAGTCATAGAAAAATTGGGATTACTTGTTATCAATGTACCTTATCATGATAAATTGCAAAAGAAACTGATTGCTAAGCTTGGAGGACTTTTTTAAGTCTGAACGTAGGTAAGTACATTGTTCTCGCTAATAATATTGCAATGTCTTCGATCATTATAAATTTAATTTGTTGAGATATTTCGAGTAATCGAGAACCTGTTCATTAAACCTCAGGAATTCATAGGAAAAAAATTTGCGATCCCGTTATACTATTTATTACTTATTATCATTTGATGGTTTGTTAATTTTAAATTACGTACGTTCTGTTTTCCTATCGAAAAGTTACCATACAATTTCTGTGTACAAATGAAACTACCTACCTATCATATTATTAATGGCAGTTGAAATCGACCGTATCACGTTCATAGACATATTATTTTCATTTTTTTTTACGAAATGTCTGTGTAGAATGACATATTTTGTATAAGTATAGACTATTAAGTACCTACATACCTATAGTTACTAAGACAACATTCGTTAGAGTCCAATTAACCAGCTAATTAATTATTTATGAAGTATTTGTCCATAGATTTGTCCGACTACAGGTTTATCCAAAAACGTTTTTATGACATTGTCGGATTTATGTTATCAAATAAGCTCGGAGTACAGAATTTTCGTTAATTTGTTATGTTCAGTAGTGTTTAGAAATAAACACTTTCTTATCCGAACAAGCATAATAATAATCATTTCACTGATGTCTGATCGATTAAGTTCATAATATATATCAGTACATAGTACCAAATGTTTAGAAAAATAACACGAATCTGTATCCTTTAGAATGTGTGCGTAAAGTCGTTAACAGTGTGTACAAATGTCCTATTTGTGTCAAATTATGTTATTTTTAATTTTTGTCGAAACGAAATAACAATAGTCAATATCATAACGAATAACAATCGACTTACCTGGCGACACAGTGACCGGCTGTTACTACGTGATACCTGTTCACCAACGAACCACCGCACCGACTGGATCCAATGCGAATATAAGCCTAGAATCATACACACATAATAAAAATTAATTGATTTATAAGTACTTATGTTTTCATTGTACCTACACCTACATAAGTGTAATCCAGATTTGTCTAATAATAATATTGATTGATACCTATCATGGGTTGAAAAAAAATTATGTGATTTTCAAATTAATCAAGTTAAATGTACATTTACACACTAAATCTGGCCTCACTATAATGTTCCTATAGTCAGTGTTTGTGAAATCATTTTTTTTTTTATAGTTTGAAATTTCGAATAAATAATTACACTGCATTAATTATTAAACATTATTTATGACAGGCAGTGACTAGTGGTTTTTAAGGTTTCTTATTGATATATGAATTCAAAGTTCGGATGAGCTTGTAAAATTAAAAATGGTACTCCCACAAAATGTGTCCTATGTTCTTCAAAACGTTAAGCACTTAATAAAAAAGCTGTTTATTCAATATCTGATATAAACAGTTCTAGAGAAGTATTTGGCTATCAGGTATGAGAATAAAATATAGCAAATATTCAATGGGGTACTTAGACAGTTAGACTTGAAGGGGTCGGTGTTCTAAATTAAATGAGCTTTACTGACAAAGAAAATGTAATTTTAGAAAAATGTCCACGTTCAAAAAATGTCTGTAGAGAGGAGTAGGGGAGTTATTCCTAAACACCATCATAACTATTAACAAATAAAATATCTATAAAAAGCAATAATTACTATACATTTTAAATACCTATTTAGGTGTATAGTGAAAATGTGAATTACGTTACTCATACAATTGTAAATTACTATAAGTTGTAATATGAAAATGTTTTTACCAAAAATACGGAAATTTGCTAGGAAAATATGTTCCATTGAACATGGATAACTGAGGGTTCACGTTTGATGTATAATATGTTATTACATTAAAGCATCTAAAAAGTAGGTGTATAAAAAATCACAAATATTAAAACATAGGTATATTTTATAGTTTTGGTGCGTACGTGCACTTTATACTGCAGTCGACGTGTCCGTTTGATTTGTTGCCGAAATTCGTTAAGTTATTAATTACACGGATTATTAAACATTAATTGTGAATTATGTATACATTAATAATAATACGTATTAGGCGAAGTTGTGCGCGTGCGCGTTGTACGCATACTCGCTATAGACGCCGGCGGACTCGCCCGTTATGAAACCCGACCGGCGCGGCGCCGCAAATCGCTCAGATCCGTTTCACCTTCCGTCGTCCGGATCGATGCTATTAATAATTTAATAATATTAAAATGCGACTCGACTGTATAATGAACGTCACAGTATTTCAAACTCGTAAAATATTGCCGTATAAATTACAGGTAGGTATCGTCGTCGAGTTTTAGAAATCAGACAGAGACGGCGGCGGCGGCGGCGGTGGTCGCGTTCGAAAACGATTATTGCGGTAATGACACGCGTCGATGGTAATAATGCATTTTACGATGTTTTCGTTGTGCTGACGGATGAAAACCATGAGGCGACACCACGCGATGTGCATTCGATGGTGTTCGGACCGTGAAAATGTGAAGGCAAGTCCGGTTCTATAATAATAATTTACAGTAGGCGAGGGGCCGATATTTTTGGGCGGTGGGCCCCTAAATCGTATGAAAAAAAAAATAGTCTTGTTCGGCGTTTTTGTATATTGTGTGAAATATTGTAATATTATAATTTATAACATTCAAACAACTTAAAATAGATAATAATAGTATTCAAATGCACGAGTTATGTGGTACGAAATAAATTTAATGTAACAACTGGAAATAACAGAGCGTTAAATAAGAAGGGTTTCAGATTTCATTTTACTTTTTCGAAAATAATTTGAATGTCTGATCATATAATATTATAATGATATATTTTGTATCTACTAAAAATACTGCCCATAGCTGATGCCTACTAGGGAGTAGCAAATATTATCTAGCATTCTAGCTTACATAAAACTAGGTTCAATTTGTTTTAAAATTATGAGATGCTTTTTTTGTAAGATAATTTCAAATAGATAATTTACCTTATAGCATAAGGTAAATTATATTCGGGTATATTTTAGAATATCTATGCATTATGATTGCATATTTTAGAATATTTAAAAAAACGAAATACAATATTTTAATACTTTATGTTGCATAATATAAACCCTATACAGCTAAAATTATGATTAAAATTCGTTGTTCAGAGAGGTCGTGGATCAATACATATCGCTACAATATTATTATATTATATTAGCTGATACATGTATTGTTATTATTCTGTTATTGTTATATTACCGCGACGACGCGCTGTGACTTTATTTTTTATTCTATTCGTGAAAACTCACGGTGAATTAACGTTAATTTAATAAGGTGGACGACAAAACCGCTTTGTATTATCATTATGGAATCGCGAATGCGGCAATATTATGCTCGTGAAGTATAAAACAAATTACCGTATACCACGAACGGTAGTACGGTGTTATTATTATTTATTATTGTTATATATTACAATGTAATAAATACTATATTATTATATTTTATATTAATACTAAAATATAGGTATTATTATCGTTGTTGTTATGATATTATCCCAACATAATGTAATATTATGGTATAGGTATTGTTGTGACTGTTGTTTTTTACCTGCCACGGAAAGCTGCCGAACCCAGCTTCGTCACCTCCGACAATTCTTCTTTGCGCTCCTTGTTGCTTGGCCACCGAAACACCACAACCTAGATAATATGCATACGTTTTGATCAAATAAAATTCTCGTTGCTTTCATATACCATCCACCAAGTTTATATGTATAGAAGGTGGTCCATTTCAGTGTCTACACTCATTATTTCGAAAAGTTTTAACTTTTTGAAAATATTACTTGTACATAATTTTATGTCATTGCAAAAAACATTTTAATGTGATATTTCCACACATTTTTTATATCGTTTTCTCGTTTTTAAATATTTTTTACACGCCTTTGAATGACGGCATACATTTTTAATTTCATATATTCCTAAGTAGCATATTTTTCAGAGACATAAAACTTAATTTAGAACTAATAGTTAATAATTAGTTATTTCAAGCTTAGATGAGCGGTGTATAGTGGACCAACATTCAGCAGGGTACCCCTGTGCCATTCTACTCCACTCGTCTAAACTTTAAATACGTAACTACTAATTGAAAAAAAATGAACATTTTTCGAAATAATAAATGTACGTAGACACTTAATGGATCACCTTTTATATATGATTAGTCTGATACGGATGTGCTTTTATGGCACTGCAGTTTAATTATAAATATGTATATATTATTTATTGTATACTCAAGGCTGGGTAAGTCAAAATAGTCAAAATAAATGTAAATCTGAACTTTGGAATATGAAGTATAAAATTAACTTATTTAATCTGTAATTAAATGCATTATGATTTGTTTTTTTTCACGATTTTTCCTAGATTGGACAACAAAATTATTTTAGGAAGGTGTCAAATTGTATGACAGTTACTAAAGATGGTAACCGGAACTCTTAAAATAATGATGCAAAAAGTTAATTTGATAAAAAAAAAATAGGTATGAGTTACTCATTTTGTTAAAAAATATTAAGATTGATTTGACTTTAACTCGTTGAATCTGCCCTGCCCTGCCTTGAATATGAGTGTGTGTATAATATTATGAATCATAAGTCTGGTATAATATAGGTAAACATTATTATGATGTGTATATGTTTATGCATTTTTGTATAATATACGAGCGATAGAGTCTAAATGCTGTATTTACAATGATATATATTTGTTCATATAATATTATGACGATCGTGTTGTGCACCAAAACCACTTTCTAAATACTTGCACTACCATACAAATAAAACAATATATACTATGTATATTCAATATTGTGTATCACGTGTATACTACGTATAATATGCTCATTATTGGTTTGGGGCTACAAAATCGACCCTGTATTTTGGTTTTTTACTTTATAGCCCAAAGAGCATTTTTGATACTTAAAATATCAGCTGACCCGGTCAAATGGGCATGATTTTTACTATCGTATTCAAATTAAATAATATTATATTTTGTTGTATGTTATTATTATTATCACATAACAAATAGTTTATACAAAAACGGTTAATATTCAACGGAAGTCTCCGTTTAGTGTGCTGTTGCCAAAATATAATATCGGTAATATTACATTATTCCAATATTCTGCAATATTCTGCGCAGTGCGCACAGACGTTATTATAATCATTGCAAATATCATTGTAAACCAATCAAACCTATATTATATGATACTTATTTTCTATATTAGACTCATTGCAAATTTGTAATTGTTATAATTAGATATTAATTATTATTATTATTATTATTATTATTATTATTTAGGTGCGCGTTTTATGGCCTACCGCGGTGGAAACAACATATTATTTTAATATGCCACGGTATATGATTATGTTATTATTCCCAGAGTTGAAGACTCGAAGTGGACATTAGTTTAATGATTATGATGATGATAACTATAATATGGTTAGACTACACCAACAACAGTTTTTGTTCGGTTAAAAGTTCATTTGGTATTATAGTTATGAATAGTTGTTACTTGTTAATATTATGATGTATTTTATAAGTCATAACGTTGGTAGAGTTTTGTCGTTTTTATACTTTCACTGTATAGCGCGTATTTTCGTATAGGTAAAATATACATTTTAAGCTCATGTTTAAATCATAATATATGGTTCTACCCAATGATATCATATAACATAATATATTATATATTATCAAAATAGGCTCTAGTCGAAGATAACAATAGTATTTTATATATTTTATTGGCGTACTTCCAATCGCTATGATCGCACGATAATAATATTAATAGCTATTACGTAGTACGAAGATAAATATTTAATTAAACATTCACACGTAACACTAATAATAATAAACGGCTCACAATATTTGTCATTGTCGAAAGTTGTTTCGAGAAATTTTTACTTTTTTCCTAATCAAATAATATATTAAGACCGAGCGATTACAGCTAGAAAGACGTTACGTATATAATATACGGTCTAAAATATACGACTGGAAATCTACAAACATCGATTGCAATAACATTATTTTTGATGTCAGTTTGATTTGAAAGTGTCGCGCGCGTGTAGCGATTTATAGCATAGGTAGCATCTATAAGCGTGTCCGATTCTTACATATTATTATTATTATTATAATTATTATTATGCATTAATATTATAACATTATTGTCCACTCTATCAAATGCTCAAGCCAAAATAAAACGTGAAGTGTTAACCAATATTTCAACAATGGAACGAACTCTTTTATTTTGTGCGGATGAAGTGGCTTATACACTAGACGTGAGCAATAAAATACTTTAAATTCGGCGATTAATCGCTTGGTGTTCAGTTGTGAATATTTTCATGTCATAGCTTATTTATATATCATCAATTAAGCATATTGTTGAGCTTTAAAAAAGATGGTCTAATAAAGAATTTTTTTTAAAATTTACTATAATGAATTTATTCAAATTCTGATTATTGGAATTTTAAGGTACACATAGGTTCGACCATATTTTCAAATGATTAGATTTTTACCACCCAAGACTGTAAGGAATGTTCTGTAGTAGTACAAATATTTTTTTTCCAAAGGAGAGCCACCCTTTAATATTGCTAACTTCAAGCAGATGATTTTTTAAAAATATTTTGATGCATCTTAATTGAAATTCTTAAGTCATAGATTCATAATTGTTAATCTCCTTAACACGTAATTCCTAAGAAATAAAAATACTTCATAATAATAATTAATAGGGTAAAAAAATAAATAAGCTATAAAGATTTGAAAATAATTATTAAATTGACAAAATATATTAAGTAGTATACTAAAATTGTATGATTTGGAAGAATTGTTCAAGTATAATTAGTACACTAAATTAAAATATACTTAGTATATATATTTAAAATATTTCATGTGTTTCACAATTAGGCATTAAAGACTAGCATCCTTTGTACCTGCATAAATATTAATAAATCAGTAGATACAGTTCGTTAAATTTTCAATACATAGACCCATTAACATTTTCGAAAAAATCATCAGATTAGTAATTATTTGCAAAAGAAAAGTTTGGTTCTGATTTAAAAGAAAGAAAAAATATTGTACCACCACATTAAACAATTAAATAACAATAATGTATTTTGTCCGTTGTAAAAATAGTAAAACTGAGATTTTATATCATAGTACCTATATAATAATTTTCTTATATAAGAATATAGTGTTGTACTCTGTGTTAAAAATAATACTGTTTTCAGAAGTTGTTTTAAACCTCTAAACATTTATTAAAAATTGTTGAATACTTTGAAATATATTTGTTTGACGTTAATTTAAGTTAATTAATCTGAGCTAATATTTGGTGTGAATAAAGTTTCCCTTTTTCTAATAAAGAAAAAAAATATTCAAATCTGACTATTCTAAAATATATTATATTGAAAATCGTTTTTAATCTTTTGAACAGTTTGATTTGATTTTTCCGTATTTTTCCGCCGCTCCGCGTAACTAGATTTTTCCCGAATTTTCACACCTTACACCTTATGGCTTGATGTATAAGGTACTGTCATTTACGAACCGATAGTGTAAAATTGGTGCAAGTGTAGCATTTTCAACACCAACAAATTTTTTTTTTTATAATATCATCAGTGTGTAGAAAAAAGTTAAAACATTAGCGAGAGTAATCTAAATTACTAAATTTTTAAACTTAGTGACCTTGTTAGTTGTTACACACATTTTTCTATCAGAAGGTCGAGTACATTGAAGGACAAAAGAGGGGGAGGGATTGAATATCAATTATCTCATAAAAAAATGTGAACCAAATTATGATACTGTCACAGCGGAAGGGATAATAATACTATAGGTAGTCGATGATCGTCTTCGGTAATAATAACTACGAACCGCTGTCGATATTGTATATTATTATCACATTATGGCCGTTATACGAAAGGCCACAGCGCGTGTCCTTCGCACGAAAACTGTAGTTGCTAGGAACAAACGGAAAAAATTCACTTTCTACACAATAATAATAATAATAATGGAGCGCAGAGTTCCGCTTAATGCTATCACGTCGTCGATGCAAGTAATTTTGGTTATACTAAAAACTAACCGATCGATTCCGTAATAGATTCTTTTTATTTTTAATTATCCTTTATTGATAAACGTATTCAATAATAAATAAAAACAAAACACGGTGGTGTATAATAAAGTTCATCCACCATTCATAATCTTTGGGCTAAATTTGTCAACACCTGTAATAACTGAACAGCTAAATTTTAAGATTTCTCTTCTATAAAGTAGAATATTTACTGACAAGTAAATTTCTACCGTGCTTATAACACTGTAAGTTATTGTCCAACATTTTATCCATTCAGTTTCAAAAAAAGTCAAATTTTGTTATCAATATTCACCAATTTAGCAATTTTTTTAAACTTATTCTAAGCCTCACTTATCAAACATTTTTCAAGTTTATTAAAACAAATAAGTAAATAAATGTTATTTTTATTAATCAATGTTTTCGTTTTCTTCACATGTATTTGTCAAAAATTGGAACGACTATCAAGCACAGAAGGACACTGTATAATGTATCCAAGATTCATGTTGAAAAAAACTACATTTAAATTCCTTTCCAAAAATTATAAAATAAAATTGAAAAATATTATAGGAATATTAAAAGCTTAAAAATCAAAATACGAAAAAAAGTGTTATTAAACTCGTTGGTTCCCGATATCACATTAAGTAGTTCAAACTTTTTTGTGAAAAAAGCTACGTTTTGCATCGAGGTAAACAGAATAAATTTTCCTGCAAATCATATGAAGGGAAAAGTCCCTGCTGATACACCAGACGGTCAAGAAGACGTTTGTCACAGTTTATTCATTTCTTCGTCGAGAACACAAAGCAAATCAAAAATCAGAATATAGTCGATGGAGGCCACGTGACGGATATAATAGCTGTCTTCATTACACCGTCATATAAAATCACACAGGCACAGGGATACTTAATAATTAATTAATTATTATGATTGTTAAGTAAATATTGTTTATTATATAATGCACTCGCCATCTAAAATGTACAGCTCGAATACGCGCGTATAAAATATAATAACATAATATTATCATATTATTAGGTATACCTGCAAGTGCGGCCAACAACGAACAAATATTAATATTTATAGGCTAATCGTCGTAATAATATAAATTCACTATGCTTTTATATAATATATTATTATATTATATAGGCGTACCTACATTAATATAGTTATTATTATATTATTATGCCAGTTGACATTGACGACACGGCGTGAATGCGATATTGTTGTTAAACGGCCGCACGCGTTTGTCGTAATAATGAAAATATGATATATTACTATTATTATGATAAAAATAATGACGACGATGTAGAAAGCCGTTTGTACGTTATAATAACATATTATTATAATAAAGTGATCGATCCGTGGAAAAAAATCATCCCCTCCGGTGCCCACCCCTCCAGTGAGTGCCGCCGCCATCCGTCGGGTGTAAAATAATATTATGACGTTATGATATTACTGTTAATATTGTTTTTTTTTTTTTAATTCGATCAAACCGTTTCGACTTGCCTGTCTCTCGTCAGTCGAGAAACCGCTTGTGTCCGCGCGTCATAATAATATGATAATAAATAATAATATACACTCCGCGTTCATATAATAATATGATATGACAGTGCCCATAGTCGTAATCCGGAAATTCTTAGCGGTACAATAATGTGTAATAGTACAACAACGATACAGGTTTTATGTTAGGTATACCGATTACCGACGCAGTGACCGCGGTGACGATTTCCCCGCGAAAATCGTGAGCTGCCGACATTTTATTATATTACAGACGAAACGTCTTGAAAACCGCATACGATTTCACCGGTTTTGCTTTTTGTCACAGTTTTCGGACAGACTATAGACGCAACGACGCGACGACGGAAATCCGAACCGTAATAACAATAACAATAGGTAGGTAGGTAGGTAGGTAGGTAGGTAGGTAATAATTTCGTAACGCCGATCGGGGATTTCATCGATTCCGCCACACAATTTTTTTTACCAAGGAAAATTCTGGTACATAATTTGAATTAATTGTGAGTTTGACGGAACCCGGAATTCGTGTGAAAAATAGAAACCACCCGGACAAAAAATAAAAATCGAAATTTCAAAATATTACATTTATTCAGACACTATTACATAACATCTTCATACATATACAGCTTTATTGGTTTAAGTGTATTATACACAACACCGACAATTGTATTTAATATGTATTATTATTTACCATGTATATTTAATAATATTATAATGATTATTACATTTTGATTTTAAAATTTAAATGTTGGGTACATGATTTATTATTTTGTAGATAATTAATAAGCCTATTTTAAAATACTATGCTGCACCTTTAGGTATATCCTGGTTATACTATGCCAATTTTGTAAGTACCTAGACGTGACACATTATTACCAACAATTTAAACCTAGTAACCTACACTTTTGATATCCAATGTTTAGTCACCTGAACATTATAATTTGTATAGAAACTACTATTATATTATTAATAAGAATAACTTAAATATATTTTAACAAATCTAAATTTATCCAATTAAGTTAAGAATCTACAGTTAAGAATTTGCAGATGATGGAATGGATAGGTTAGTGATAATATAAACGATTGACTCTCAATAGTTTCAGTGCAATAATATGATGAAAAAATAGAATAAATAATTTAATTTTTACAATATTGTAAATTATTATTAATATTAAGTAACCTTTTTAGTTTATATTCAAATTTTAAATTTTTGAAGAATCATGTAGCCATTAGGTATACTGCAACAATAAGAAAATATAGAAACCTTTTTGTCCTAGGGACGATATCTCAACTTTTTTAATTTTCTTAAAATATAGTTAATATCAAAACTACAAATATTTTTTTTTTTTTCTGCAACTGAATATCTATTGAATGATTGTAAAAAAATGTACTTTGCACTATATTGTTTGATTTAAGTACTCTAATCTAATTTCATTCCTATTGGTGTATAATGAAGCTAAATTAAATTCCAAAATAAAGTTCATCCAAAACACGAATAGACTTTAAAAGAGCTTTATTTAGACAAATGATGTGAACTTTATTAATTTTTGTTCATTTATTTTGATATAATCAAACGTCCACTGATCTTTTTACACTTAACGGTAAAATTCAACAAGTATTGATTCGAAGGTATATTTTTGTGTACGAATTAAATAACAAAATGCATTATGCAGACATATGAACAACAACTTTACTTCCAGCAAAGTATCGAGTTTATAGGCATCGATAAGATGTTTTTGTTTCCTTAAATATTATTATTAGCATTTCGGCATTTGATATTACGTTTAAAATATTCTAAATAGTTGCTACGCCTTAACAATTAAATACACCAAGATTATCTTCGACTATAGACCTAAACAATTAATTTTAATATTGAATCATGTTACTGCGTTACATGCTTATCGATGACGATATTATAGATTGGGTGGAAATATGATTTACCTTAAGATTAGAAATGTGTCGTTTGTTTTGATATACAAATCGTAGTACGGTTCAAATAATATGTTTGATTTTTGAGTGATGTATAATATTGTTTATTTGTGTAAAGCCTTATTGTTAAAGTTATGACTTGTTTGGTGTTAGTTTAATATATAATTAACAGAATGATTTTTAGAGACGCTAAGAATGACTAAGACACTCATTATTTCAAAAACATTTAAAATGTTTAAAAATATTATTTTTTCATAATATTTAGTATAGTTATAACATGTCATACTCATTAAATTTTTTACATGTATTTGTCACCATAATTTTTACATTTTTAATTTCAAATTCATATGAAAAATATTTTTTATACAAAACCAAATTTTGAATGGTACCTATAGTTAATTATTTGGTAATAACTTTTAAATAATTAAAGTTTAGATGAGCAAAATGGAGTGGCACAGGAGTACCCCGCAAAATGTTGGTCCACTGATCCGCCCATCTAAGCTTTAAATACTTAAAGCTAATAATAAATCACTCATTCGCACATATATTTGTATGTAAGTATCGAAATATTCTGAATTATATGTACAAATATTATGTATTGTCGTCAATAAATTAAGAACTAAATATATATTTTTTTTAATGCCATTTTTTAATAAATTTGGATAATATATAACAATTTATTCCTAAAATGTTAATAGTTCTTGTAATAATGTGTGTCTAACGTTGGAAAAACAAAAATCATTCTGTATATTATGTCGTAGGTACGTGTCGTGCGTCTTCGGGGCGACGGTTTGTGAAGTTTTTACAGAAGCAGGTTGTAATAATAAAATATAGTTTAAATATACGTATTGTGGTTATTATACAGTTTGTAGCGTTATCGTTAGACAAGAAACGAAGAATGAAAGAAATAAAAACAGTATAAAGTAAAGTGATGTACAAGATGTAATAGGCAATAAAACCGCGGACCGGCGGTGACTTACTGGGATCGTTAGTCACTGGGCCATAGTCGACCGGCACCGACGCTCTGTTAGTATTGATAGCAATATTTTCGTTCGTTTTGGCGGAATTTCTGTCGCAACAGACGTACAGGAAGCCACCACAGGTGCTCTCAATGTAACCGGAAGCCATCCAGCAAGTTAACAAAAATTCACAGCTTCCTGTATTGCACAAACTATTGCGTTTGCTGTCTACGTCCAAGTCGGTCCATTCATCTGCGAACATCATCCACCGTCTTCACCTGATCATTTTTTTACATTTGGAACAATCTAGTTCCCAAGGTATAGCTCGCTCTCTCGCTCTACACGTCGTCGCATAGGTACACGCCGTGGCCGATATGGTCGGATGTAATCGTATATAATATCATATTATGGTCGAGTCGTTATTGTTTTATTATTATTATATTATTAATGTTGTACTCGTTTAATATAATATTTTATAGAGTTTTTGGGGGTAGTCGTTGAAAACAAGTCGTTTTATACAGAGTCCGTGACCTACCAAACCATTACTATTAATAATAAAATTAGTCTTATATTATTGCGTCCGTAATTAGAATACAATAATATTGTAAATATTAGGTATTGATGTCATCACGCACTTGGTATAGGTAGGTACAATAATATGTTAATAATTTTATTGGTGTGTTTAGTGTCAACGAATCCTCTGTGTTATAATATACTCATACTCATGTCTGGAAGCTATAATAGTGTTAACCGTGCAACTATAATATATTTTAATCTAAATATTACTATGAATAATTAATAATTATTTAACCAAAATATTAATAATCTGCATAGAACCCCGCATATTATAGTTTATAGTGATGAGTGATGCTCACTCATTACCAATATATTTGTGTGAGAAAACTATATAGGAAAGTGAGTTGTCAGCAAACGTACGTAATATTAGTTGTATGTGTTAGGTAAATTAAAAGTTATAGATAGGTTTACAATTTAAAAAATTAAGAGGACCATTTGTTGTCTATGTCTTAAAAACGTACGATATGGCAAATTTTCGTTCGACACAATCAATTTTGTATTTTCATCTTGAATATTAGAGTGAATCGATCTATTGTCATACTTAAAGGTAAGAATATTATCTGGTACCTACCTATATTTCATCAAGCTTTTGTTGATATTTTAATTTTAAACGGATTTTATAACTATGTAAAATATAGTATGATTTTAAAATGAAAATATCAACAAAAAGCCTATGCGATGTCTAAGGCAATATTCTTACCTTTAAATTTAACAATTTATCGGTCAATCCGCTCAAATATTAAAGCAAAAACATAAAATTGGTTTCGCTGAACTCAGATTTACTACTACCATAAGTCTGTTCGACGGAGACAACACTTGCGGTCTCGTCGTGCTCTTGAAAACAAACAAAATTTGTTTTTCATATACAATATTCATAATATTATAATAATATATATTATATGGGAATGATATTGGAGTCTCGGGAACAATCGGCTGCAAGTACAGATCAATCTGACTCGATTCACTTTTTTCCCGCAGCGTATTATTTGTCCCTCGTGACACGACTTATTAGTTGATTTCTAAATTATTCATGCACAAAAATACCGGATTTAAATGCTCCAAACACATTACCTAGGTACTCACTACTCACAGTTAATATATAATGTATAAGAAATTATAGGGAACACCGATTACATGCCTAACCCACACGGGACGCACAGGTACTACACAATAAATTCACATATTATATTATGTAAGCCCCTGCAAAGAGGCAATATATTATTTTAATCTCTCGTTTCTCGGCGCTATATATGCGCTAGACGTATATTATGTACCCATAATGTATATATGCATTCGAACTGCGTGTTATCGCTATCTGATTGTACACACACACCTGTAACATTTGTCTCGGTGGAGATTTGAACACGAGTGATGTGTGCCGTATCTCATTATATAATAAGCATGGGATAATATTTGTACAGGATGCACACCACAATAATAATGATAATAATAACATAACGTTTGTCTGGGGCTATAGTTTTTGTCGTCACGCCTTATTGTTATATTATTATGCCGTACCACAACATAACACGAACTCGTCTCCAGACGATATAACAATAATAATATTGTCGTAACCAAAATCATACACACCCCATTATAATATTATATACAGGGTGATTCGCCGAGCATGCTCAACCCCATTTTTTTTATCAAATTATAACGAACCTTTTCACTGTAAAATGTTAAACCGATGATTTTATTGAAAATAATGATGTACCTATATCAACATTTAAGCGATAGTTAGGTATTGAAATGTATTCGCACAAAGGATAATAGTCTTTGAAAATGGTTTTACAAAAATTGTGCAGTGGGTACGTAATATTGCGACTGGCATATAAACTATACTATAATCAGCCAGTTTTTCAAAAGTTATGAAATGCTAATAAATTAATTTTAAGTGCTTTAATTTTCAATTGATCGTAGCCACCATATAAATAACTCACAAAACTACTGATTTTGATTAAGATGGATAGATTGATACCTGGTATATGGAATTATTTAAAAAAGTTATCCACAGCTTAGAAATGTACGAGTTTACCTACGCGTGATGCTCATTTGAAATTATAAAAGTTCCAAAAAATTAGAATTTGAGTTAACGCACACTTTTAAAGAGTGGAGAAAATGAGCTCGAGCGTGCTCGGTGATCTACCCTGTATATTATATATAAGCACGAAACGCTCTAAGGGCACTGCTAGGAATAGTCGTGATATTTAATATAAAATAACCCTTCTCGTCAGCGTTCATCGGATATCAGGAGCGGTGGTGTGGACGTCCCACGAGAAGTTTTGAATATATTATTATTATTTTAATAAAGTATTGTCATGTGGGGATACTGCTGCACGGGGGGAGGGGGCTTGTTTTGACGATCGTTGACACCACAATAGATTAAGAATCAAGAATCCCGAGGTCAAGGCACTGCGGCTGGTTTTTGGGGTCAAAAATCCCGACCGTCGTCGCAACAGCGACGTTTAGTACGCAACCACTGGTGTTCCACACGACTTAACTATTGTATTATAATGCTTATGGTATTTTATACTAATTATATTGGTGACGAAAAAAAAAAAAAAAAACATTTTAAGTATACGAGTAACGACTAGTGTTAAACAAAATGGGGAAAAATTTGCATTTCTATGTTCACGGATATCCCGGACCGCGGTCCAAGCGGGAAGTATTTCAGTATATATCCGCGGCCGGGACGCCGATGATATGGTGGTCGCTCATCGTGACAGACTTCCAATACGTGTATGAAAATAGCATTCTAATATCGTTACATTACCGCGATCATATTCCGTCGTGTGCCACTCACAATCCGCCGTCGCTGCGACGATGATCTCAGGGGGGGGGGGGATCGTCGTGTCCGGAAATCGATAATATAACGTGCTCGCGTGTGCTGCCGAGTGGGTTTACGGGAAAAAGCGAAAGCGTACGATGACGGGCCGCCGCCGGTGGGAAATCGACGAACGCCTCGTGTTTATTCGCCGTTAACTGTTTATTTATCGTTTTGCCCACAGTACCCACCCGTACCCACCTTATACCGTTGTTATTATACGTGTGTCTTAACGGCCGTCACGATCTTAACTTTGACTTTAACGAGCCGTCGTCGCGTCATCGTAAATATCGTGTGCGTGCGTAACACGTCCGGTAGGAAGATTACGTGAATAACGCGTCCGCGGAGCACACCCGCGGCACTATACCGCGGTATAAATGTCGATATTTTACAGGTATATAGACACTCCAGTCCGCTGCGGACGTCGGACGAGACTATTTATTATTATTATTATTCGGTTGTGTAACCCAATCAGGACCGGAACGGGTGTGCATGTGTGTGATACGCGGCTCTGCAAAAAAACCCGCCCGGCGTAGTGTGCACACAAATCGCCCGCCGTTAACGGGACAAACCGGTAAACAACGCGGAGCCGCTCGACCAGCCACGCTGCTTTCATATTATTATTATTGTTGTAGTTTCGTGCCTAACCTATACGAATATTATTATCTTTTCTCTCCGTGTAATACCTTACGGTTTGCGCAAGAAAACACGTTTTTCCCCTTTCGTATCGTAATAAAAGTTGTCATCACTTATGACATTATTATCATTACTATTACTATTATTCACGTCACTTTATAATATAATACATTATTATATCCGAGTGGTACTACGACGTTTGTTTGAACGTCTTTGTTATCATTAAAATATATTTTATATTATCAGTAGTAGAATAAGACACGTACATCACTCGCACCCACAACTACCACCCCCGCCCACCCGCCCACCAGTCCCGCCCATCGATAAGCGCGCTGACACTGACCTTTGACGTCATCGGGCTGCGAGACCAACAGGTCTTGGAGTCCATTGGGACCACCGCCGAACGGCGCCTGGAGCGTTCCTTGGTCAACGGGGTCCCGGAACACGAGCCGGGGACTCCTGGGCCCCATAGACGGTGGTTGTTGTTGTTGGACCGGGTACTGGGGTAAGTAACTGAAAGGCTGTTGCTGTGACAAGAGGCCTGGCGGTACGGCGGCGGGCGACCACGGGTTGTTGTTGTTGTTGACGATGTTGTTGTATGATGGTGGCGGAGCATCGTGGGTGGGCGGGAACCTGAGGTACCGGCGCCGGAACTCGGCGGAACGGTCCCAGGCGGTGGCCGCTGCGCCGTTCCGTTTGTGGTGGTACGGATCCGCGGCGTACCGGTAACGCCGACGGCGGTTTTGTTGCTGCTGCAGATCGGCGGCCAACGAGGGCGCGTACTGTTGCTGCTGATACCGGTGGTTGTTGTTGTTGTTATAGTGGTAAGGTCGGATCATACCGTTCGGGTATGCGGCCACCGCGGAACGACGGAACCGCTTACGCCGGTACAGCTGTTTGGATTCCGACAAACGTGCCATTGAAAAGTCTACAGTCGTGTCCGCGGTGTCTGCAGCCGTGTCCGCGGTATCTTCAGCCGTGTTCGCGACATCGCCAACCGTGTCCGCGATGTCAGCGACGGAACGTCGGTACCGCTTGAACCGGAACAACTGCTTGTATGTGGACGACTCGGCTGTCGAAGGGGCTGGCGTACGGCGGAATCTCTTGCGACGGTATGACTGTTTGGACGCCACGGAGGCCATTAGCTGGGCGTATAAGTCTCGGTGTCGCGACGACTTGACGGCCATCTTAAACAACCGGTTGTCGTGATTGCGCTTGTTACGCCGGGTGTTTGCCTTGTCGATCGAACACATCTTGCACACGGTCGAGTTACCAGCGATCGAGGGAACTGGTTCTCCGGCCGTTGTCAAGTTCTTCAACGGATCATCCACGTACTGCCAATCTTCCACGTGTTCGTCAAACTTGCTGGGTTTGCCGACCGGTGACTGCCCGGCCGTATCGTTGCCGCCGTTCGTCAGTGGCGATTGTGTCGGGTAATCGGCAGTGGCAGCGGCCCAAGAAGATGGAGACGACGACGACAGTTCGGAAGCAGATATGGCGGTTGTTGTGGTCGTGCCATTGTTGTTGTTATTGTCGGACCCGAGACATCGATCGGCCAATAACATCACCGCTGCCAGGGTGGGTAAAAATACTAACAAACACCTGTGAACATGAACAGATTTAACGACCGATTCATGATATTGTAGGAAAAAGGTAAAAAATGTATTATGTCACACATAATTCTCATAAATTTTATAGTTTGCAAAAACCGTAATTAACTTAAAAATAACGAGCAAAAAAAGTTATTTCGTCATTACAAAATCCTTTGGTTTTGAGTTTTTTAACTTAAATAAAATGTTTTTAAAAAATTAATCACTACTGCGCGTTGACATGGCTCTTATTAGTGCGAAACGATTTACGTTCGGAGGCGTCCGATCTTGGTTCATTCTAAGCTGGCCATTCATATCATAATGTTATAGGAGAGATCCAACCAAAACAACAATGTTGTGTAACATATTCGTATTTTTTTGTTAATAAATTCATAAATTATATAATCCATAAACCATTATATACCTTTTAGGATTTTCATTGTGAGGAATACATTGGCTTGCGATTGGCCATTATAGTTACTATCAATATTTTCCTACAAGGTAAAAATAAAAAATTTGCATGTAGGTACCTACGTACTATGACATCAAGATACCCATAATCCAAATTCTGTAGGTACTCGTGAAACGACACCTTAATTTTTTTCCTTATCATTTCAAATATAATATTAGAAAAATATATAAAAACACACCGGATTGTATCAGATACAGACGAATCGTATTTATATTGATAACGCGTTATTAGTTATTATTACTGTCATCATCGATTATTTTAATATCAACTATGTATATTGTAAAGAGTTTTTCTATATCCAGACCATGGTGTGTATTTTCATCTAAAATTATTTTCTTATGATGTTCTTGTTTAAATTTTAAAAGTTAAATTTCTTATGTGGTCTTAAAAATGTACCACTATAGGAAATTACAATATTATTTGTGAGGAGACCACGTCTAATTCATGACAAGTCGGAGTTAAAGCTGGGGTCCTCGTCATGTCAGAGTATACAAACGCCTCACCAGAGGTAAATTTAAGTCATCCACCGCAGGTGCTCGACGTCATTATAATATATTGTGCGCTCGGGGATCATGGCGATAATATATCACAGCCCACAGGAAGGTATATTTTAATATTATGTCGTTTAACATCGATTTATAATAGTTACCTCAGACGGTTGCATCTCGGTGACATGGCGAACATGACGCGAATCTTACGAATGACCGGTGTCAATGAGAAAACGCTCCAGCCATTTATTTATGTGAAAATTAAATATAATACCTATGCGATATTATGTAGTCGGGTAGGTGAAAATTAATTTGAATAAAAAATTATTTTATAAAGCTCGACCGGAAGAAAAAAAAATAGAAACACGGTTCCTCGGACACTAATACAGTTATAGGAAATGACTGGGTCGGAGAATGATTGGGTTTACGTCGATTCGATCGTTATTCGCGAACTGCTGCAGAAGACGGTTGCGGACCGGAAGACGACGTAGAACTAGTGCTGTGTTCTCGGGCCGGCATGACGGCGCGAGCGGACAGGTCGGACTGATGCGTTCGGAATCGCGGACTTGGTGTTGCTGCTGCTGGCCGCGGATCGTCGCGTCGTCGGGACCAATCTCCCACCACCGCCGCCACCGCCGCAGGAGCGCAGTGCCGACGGCGGCGGCGACGGCAGTGGCGACAAAAAAAAATTAAGAATAATAAGGGAAAAGGGAAAAAAACTACCGTGCCCATATATTACACCTATATAATTGTAGAAGTGTAGAACTACAGCTGCGCGGAGAACGGAAGGAACGAGAGGAAGCAGAAGGAGAAGAAATAGAGGAGGAGAAGTAGAAGAAAGAAGAGGAATATAAGAAAAGAAGAAGAGAACGCGCGCGCACTCGCACACACAAGTGAAAACCACTTTCATTTGTTATAAACTTTCTTTTGCAAGGTCAACCGAGGACCGGCATTGAAAATCCGACCCCCCCCCCCCGCCCCTCACATGCCTGACAACCCTACTCCGATAACGCGTATGTTATTGTATATACCTACCTATTACTTTACGCTACAACTCTGCTCGCGTATAATAATAATAATACTATTATACTCATCGTCGCCGCCATCTGTTACGACACACACCAGACCGGCTGTTGTTAAGGTATGTGTGTGTGTGTGTGTGTGTGTGTGTGTGTAATTCTGTCTATATGTGTGTGCACATAACACGAACACACGATTTTCGTAAACACTTTCACTGTGTGAGTTTACAATAATATAATAATATTATAATACGCGTGGTATAAGTACGTGTATTGTAATCATGATCTGCGCACGCCGAATGCATAATATAATATTATACAGGTAGTATACGTATTGAATGTTGTCCATGGATTTATGGATAGGCCATCCCTAAAGTAAATTCCTACACAGGGTAGCTGATCAAAGTATATGCCTCACTGTCTCCACACTGTTTAAAGTTCTTCACTATTATTTGTGTAAAAATAGGAAAACAACAGGTCTCTAAAAAATATTGTACACCCAACAACGTCCGATGTTTTTTGACTACCCCGGATGTCTAGAATGAACTCATCACGCATTTATTAAAATAATGTGTACCCATGATGGGCTGGAGGGGGTGATGCTCAGATCATAAATTGGCAGATATAAGAGTCTTAAAAATGCGATGGACTGCGGGACAAATTTTGTAATGCAGTAGCGGGTCACGATACACGCTGGAAGACTCGGTGGGAGGTGCAAATGTATCTTTTAATAATCGAGCTATTGGCTCGTAAATTTCGGTGTGGATGTGCACACAGGACAACACGATAATTATTATTTATTATTACGTACATCGTATAATATTATACTACGCGGGTCGCGGTCCACGGAGCAATAATAATGAATACTAATCAATATAATACTCAAATTATACATTATTATTTATTATTTGGTGATAATACTGCAACCACGAGAAATAGGGCGAAACACAAACGCATAGTAGGGCGTCAGAGCGAATACCTGGATTATATAATATAAGTATCAAACATCTGCCTATCACTTGCACTTATTGTTTAACTATCATTTAGAGATTGTGTATACTATAATATTATTATACACTTTTGGGGCATTCAAATTCTAGCTCTACTTATAACTATTTAAAAAAAATGTATTGTTCAAAAAATAAAAATATAACTCGACCTTTAAAAATATAATCGCTATCCACAGTTTGCGAACCTCTACTATAGTACAGAACATCAATAGTAAAACAAGTTGACAGTGTGTTATTTGGAGTCCCTCTGTAAGAATGAGAGACATTGATGAAAAAACAGTATCTGTCTTTCCCATCCGGGCACTCGAATCTACCTCTATTTGGCAGTTATTAGGTATAGACATGGCTTATCCAATCTTCAATATGCCGTATACACACATCACGTGCGTGTATGTACAATTTAAAGTGACCTGCATCGGTCGCAAAAGGAAGAAGGTTTAAGGACACTTCAGTGCCAATAGCCTGATGTCTGCCGATTTGTCGATACTTTAATGATATGTATTTAAAATATAATATGATATGGATAGGTCGTATTTTATGCCACGCAGGGATTGGCCGGGAAAAACGCGATCAACCGGGTCGACGCATTACGACTGTATACTATTAAAATGAGTATAATATATGTATAACAATAAGACAATAACGTATAATAATATATAATAATGGTAATCAGAAGCTATATTATTATGAAACGAAAAAAAAATCGCATATTTTATAGTTACAAAACAATGTACAATAATATTATAGTGGTTGAAAAAAAAATTGAAATCCATATTCGTACTTAGTTTTTTTGTTTTTACGTAACCCACACGTATATAAAAAAAAAAAACAAAACATTGACTTTTCATGCGGTTTGCCCTGCCTGCCCGCATCATCGTTGAAAATTACAGGACGGTCACTTTTCTGCAGACCTCAAGTTATACGCGTCATTGTTATGTTATTGGTTTTCCGCCGGCGATCTCCGAATATCAGTAGATGATTGTAGTTGTAGTATCATTATAATATTAGGGTTAGGATGTTTACCACATTACATATTTTGTTTTCTTTTAATCGTGCACACAGATAAAATTATAAATCCGTTTGGTATGAGGTAGCAACAGTTGTATTACATTTTGAATTGACTTATAAATGAATGTTTTTATCTTTAAGAGATTTTTTCTATATTTTTACAATTTTTTTTATGTACGAGCATTTGTTATGCATTACATATATATTTACTATGTGTCCTGGTAATTTATTTTACATTTTAAACATTGCAAGTCACATATAATATAACATTATTATAATATTATTAAAAATTAAAATCATGAAAAGTTTAGTATTACCTGTTATTTTATTAACAACTTATTATTTATTATTAAATTATATTTTGAACAAATATAGATGATAAAAAATACAGTTTAATTTAAATGCATTTTTTAATATCATATTTTATTATTTCAAGAACATGCTTAGATGTTGGGTAATTTTTGAGCTTAATTGTATGAAATGTTTTGAATTTTGAAGGTTAGGTTAATTAATTAATTAGGTCCGGTAATTATACAGCCACTAACTGCCAACATTATTTATTGTTACTTATGCCATGTCTAAATATTAATTTTGTAATTTGTTCCAATTTTTATTGGTGGAATTGGCACCATACACAACACAGTCAAATAAAAATAAAATATTAGTTAATTGTAATAAATTGTAAAATTACGTATAAACTTGTAATATTTCAGTTGATAGGTATGTAAAAATCAGGAATATTCATGGGCCGACTTCAATTTCTGGTCGAGCCTGGAACAATTATTTTCCCAATACTTGGACAGTACCATATAATTTTTTTTTTACAGGTGCATATTTTTAAAGTTAAAACAATGTAGTAGTTTAAAATGCTTATGGCTAGGTTATTTGTAAACATATGTTTTGGAAATTAAAAATAAAATATTTAATTCATTTTTGTGTAGCACTCTTATGCTATATTGATATAAATTAATTTTAATTTTTTTTTTTAAATGTATAAAATGTATACCCAAATCTTAAAAAATCTATACTTTCGATCCCCGTGCCACCGCCTTTGGGAATATTGTAATTAATTTTTCAATTATTGATCATGTTATTAATAGTCCATGTTGTTTATAATCACTTCTTGTATGCAATAGCTGATGTGAGCTCAGTAAATCTATGAGTTAAATTGCAATAATTGAAATTGAAAGTGATGTTCAGATTACATAATATGCAATTTCATTTTCAACCGTGGCACGGGTTACCGAAATTAGTGTTTAGATGTGGCGCTAGCTACATGCTGTTTTTTATACCGTGCAACAGATTACATATGCTCACTTAAATGTAGCTAATAGTGCCGCAAATTACGAGTACCTACTAAAATTGACACAAAACACCTTATCCCGTTTTTGCAACTTCAAAACAAAATCGAGTGTATTTAAAAAAAATAAAATTGCGATGTTTGTGTAGGTAATATTACTGTGTTTTTTTTTTTTTTTTTGGGAGTTATAAGAACGGATGAAGTGTTCACCAGTTTACACAGCCAGAACCACGTCACTGATTATAACACCATTGCCCACCTATATACATTTTTACCAAATCGTTAAGCTCGTCACTCGTCCACACCACGTGTATACCTAAACAATGTCCCCCCCCCCCCCCCCTGTGTAATGTGCATAAGTGTTTATCGCCACGAGGAACTACGGTCGACCGTCTCCCGTCGCCGGGGAATAATGAAAGTTTATAATAATATTATATATTATTATTATTATTATTATTATATTATAGCGTGTGCTCCAGTGCAACAGACGTCGTTTTAGCGTTTAACGGCGATAGAAAGTCATATAATATACACTTGTACCATAATATAATACACTGTTGAGGCAAACCAGCGAGGCGCCCACGCGTTTTTTGCAAACCACTATTTTTGTTTATATAGGTAATAACTCCGATCGTATAATATGTAAAATGCATATTGTAACACCGTCATGATAATACTAATAATAATAATCATGTATTTTTCCGATAAAATATTATATGTTGTTTAGGTAATATACCAACGTTTGTATATTAAACGGTTTTAGGTCCACTTATTTTTACCTGTAAATACAGTTATTCGGACTTACAGCAAGAAAGCGAATGACCACTGTCCGCGGATTTCAAACCGTCGAACGCCATCATAAATAATATTATTTTTAACGACGTACTATAATTATTATTATTGTTTTCATATAATATGAATAAGATACATCGACTGATTTGTGTTATCTGGTACAATATTATACACGATGCTACATTAATAAATAGACATTAGTACTAGCAATAATTTGCTATTATTATGTTACAACGTGGAAGCGTCTATAGGAGTTATATTCGCAACGATATTATAATATAATATATTCGCATTATTCAATAAATGTTGAGTATAATAATAATAATTACAATCATTATAACATACGTATTATATAGTATTGCCGTTTTACGAAATCCATTGGAATAATATTACATGTAGGTATTGCAGCACAAATCCAATCGAAAATATTTTATTTTCAAAATGTCTCAAATT